GACCCACTGGCGTATAGGATCAAGGGGAGGTCCGGATGGGTTTTCTTGACTGAGTCCACTATCTGTTTCAAGTAAGGGAGACTGAACTCTTCGAAGTCCATTGGGCTGAGTTGGGTGGCCCACGAGTCGAATATCTGAACAGCCTGGGCCCCGCTTTCGGCTTGGTACTGTATGTATTTGGCCATAGAGGTTGCGAATTTTTGAAGAAGCGCATGAAGGATCTGCATGAGGACAGGTTTTGCATCATAATCATTGCCCTAGACTGCCATTGTCTTTAACCATTGCCAAACAGCTTATTTTTTGAAGAGCTGTTTGGCAGACTTTAGTTTAGGCTTATCAGCCGATTTCTCCACTAAATACGAATTGTTGTTCATGCATTGCTGGACTTGGTTTATTGAGTAAGGTTCTTTTGCCACCCATCGTGGTTGTCAAAAAAAAGACATCAGGCAAATTTGAGGGCACTACGATGCTCTGTTTGATCCCAAAGTGGTTCTTGCCCCCACCCCTACCCCCTCAGTTTCGTTGTTATGCTAAGAGGGTTTGTGGGAGTGGTAAAAACCATGTCAGGGTCAAAAGGAGCACCGTATGACAACTCAAATGACATGGGTGTCATATTATGACCCCTATGATTTTAATAAGATTAAGAAAAAAGCAGAAAAAATAAGTTGAACGGAACGGGGCCTAAGCCGATACTATTAAGTTGTCTTTTTTAAACACTAATAAATATATTATAATTCTAGTTTCTGTTCAGACACTCAACCTATAAAAGCACATAAATTGTTTTTCAAACCTGTGACCTCCCATTTGGGAGAATCAACGTGATGCTGTTGGACCACAAAATCTTTGGCTATTAACTTTATCTTTAGATATGAGTATTTCCTTTAATGTCATGCAGTTAAATATATATGAAGCATATTTTTAAATACTCTGTAATTCATTTTTAATAATTCAGCAGATTAAGCACATTCACTCAAGCAATTCCTACCATTTTAGGTCACTTAAGTACCAACCCAGCTCTCTGTTAAGGTACGACATTTATGTGTTTCGCCATAAATTCCTAGTATATTTTTAAAATGTAATCTGTATTTGTTAGTTTAAAAGCTACTTGGGACACAGCTTAGTTGTTTTATTTGTTAGTTTAACAAACTTTATTAAAATTACTTCCCTTCAATACATACCTATATTGATCTATCTATATTGATGAAATAGGACTCTTTCTGACAAAAAGAATATATAGAAACAATACTCTTTTCACTGGGAAGGAGGTCATATTAAGCGTGTCTTCAAGCTTACACTCATTCCCGGATGAATAGAATGAAAGATTACACTGATACTCCATAATGTATTCAGAACGGAAAGCAGTAAAACAGAATGAGACCAGTTGACTAAGAATTACCTTGGGCTGGGAGAAAGCGAGCGTTTTTATTTTTGTGAAGTTCTTCGATGAACCCCCTTCAACAACATAAGAAGCCATAGTAAAAGGTGCCCCGACAAACCCTAGAACTGCCGCTTCACTATGAACCTAGCAAATTGAACTTACAAATCATTTGTCTCAGATGATGAATGAGTCAGAAATGCAATACTATTTCTTCTTTCTGACCTCATTCCGCAAGATGCTTAATGATTCACCAACATATGGAACGGATTCTTCAGGATTGAATTCTCTAACTTTGTCAACATCTGTAGCAGTTTGGATAGGATCAAATATGACTGGACCTTTCCCCTTTATAATGTCAAAGGGTATGTTCATTCCAGAGAGGGGGGTAAGAATGTCTGAAAATAAAATAACCTGTGGCCACAATGTTCAAGAGATAAAGTGTAATCAAATCACAAATTAAAAGATGATTGTTTTAATAAGGATAGCATGGTAAAAAAAATCAATATGTTGCATGTTACCCCATCCGGACGGAACACTTTCCATGGCTGTAAAGAAATTTCCACCACAAGATCCACATTTTCTGACCTCTCACGAAAAGATGGATACTTCTCACAAAGGGTTTGGTAACTCTATTAAGGAAATTGGAGACAAAGTTAGTTACAAGAAACACACAAATCTAACAAAACATACACACAATAAAAGACGGAAGAGACATATGGCCTCATAAGGTCTTCCGCTAGACTAGCTGATTGGTCAGACTCAATCTTTTAGCATGTTTTTTCCTACGTGCAATAAGACCAACACTAGCACAATATGAATCCTATGAGAAACAAAAACAAGCTTCTATAATTGATCATCGGTAGGACAAATGCAAATATGGAAACAACCAGCAACCTCTCTATGTCAAGTAGGGGTTAGGTCTGCGTACACATACCCTCCGAAATCCTAGCCTTTTGTGAGATTTTATTGGGTCTGTTGTTGTGGGCAGATGCAAATTTTCACAAAATATCCAACTAGAGAGAACAGAAATTAATAGGATGCGAAGAAAATCTATGTATAAACCTGCCTTCATATACCGCCCCGCTTGTCTCATAAGCCAAACGGGAGGCCTTTCCACTTCTTTCCCACGAACAGCCTCAATCAGAAGAGGTTCGGTAGATTTAATGGCTTTTGGTTCAGCAATTGCACCTGCAACTAAAAAGAAGCTTCCAATTCAATTTGGGTTTGAGAGGGTGTGTACACAGATCAACAAGAAAGCACTTTCCATTGATTGTTAGTGAATCCCTAGAACTATGAAGTCATTTCTTTACCATTCCAGATAATCAGGCTTTCAAAGCTTAGCCATAACACTAATTATCTATTGAACTCATTAATTAACCAATAATTTGTAGACTTTATTGAGACAAGGAAACAGATTCTAGCAGCCACTCAAGGCGGCGATAAACTGAGATCGGCGAATACGATTTTATAATAAAAAAAACTGAAATAGAAGAATAGAAATTGTGAAAAGATCAGAGAAATGAAAATTTTGAAGAACAAATTTACCTCCGTGAGAGAAATTGGCTCTGGATCGAAACTTGGACCGAGAAGGAGAAACATTGAGAGTTGAGTTGGAGGGAACTGAGATTACCGAGAAGGATGGAACTGAGATGTGAAGGCAAGCCATCTTTTTTCCGCTTGAAACAATTTAGTGAAGTCGCCGGGGAAGAAGGTGCGGTGGGTTTATGCCGGCGGAAAAAGAGCTCCGACGTGAGCGCTCGCCGGTCGGTGGTGGGCGGGAAAGAAGAAGGGCCGGTAGAAAATATTTTGTGGATGTTGAATAATATCGGAGCCATTGTTCCAAAACATAAGTATAAAATTACTTTTAAAAAAAACATATTCTCACCCTCCCAAAATAGGTTACAATCTTTATTTTCTTTTTCTTCACAATTCCATAAATTTTTTTAATTGTGTGTTTTCATTAAATATTTAATAAAATAAAATATTTTTTCTTCTCTCATTTTGTAAAATTTTTTACATAATTTTTTAATATGTAAAATTTTTTTATTGATGTGCAATTTATAAATAAATTGATTTAAAAATACAAGAGTTACCCCGTGACTTCCAATTTGTAATCAATTTAGGAACGAAGAGAGCAAGTAAAAATTACGAAGTATATATCATATCACCATATTTTTCAAATTATATAGTACATTTCAATCTGTCATCGACATCAGCGTTACATCAAATTCTACTATTATCTTACTTTTCATACTATAAGTGGTTGTGTACATACACCAATTCGCCAAGTTACTACAAATATTTTTTAAACTAATAATATAAATTAATTTTAATCCAATTTATTTTTTTTAGAAAACTTAAATTACGAGTGTTGAAATAAGCCATTTTATTTATTTAAAGCTTAAAAATTACTCCTTCCGTCCCCCTGTATTTGTCCAATTTCATTTTTACACACCATCCAATGCACTTCTTTAATCCATTTTATCTTGTAATTTGTATATTAAAAAATTATAAAAATTATATATTAATAATCTATATGTTAAGACAAACCAAACAAGATCACACATGACTATATTTAGACTTACACATTGAGAGAATTTGATGATTCAAAGTGCTAAGATGAACAGTTCCAAAAATCAAATGTGGACAAATACAGGAGGACGGAGGGAGTACTAGAGTAGATTTTTCTTGGGGAGTGGGGTTTTAAAGTGGGCGTAAAAAAAAATACTCCGTATATGCTTCATTCGTACATATATGTTGTAAATAGTAATTTATTTTTTTTAATTTAAAAAATAATTAATACGGAGTATTTCGTATAAAAGGGATGGTACGACATACTCAGTAAGTGTATAGACCTCCTTGCGAATTTTCTTTGGTACCAAAAGGGAAATGTTGGGGTTGCCCTCCATCCATACCAAAAGGCCATATAAACTAAAATTTGGTACCAAATTGGCTTGGCGAAATAGGGAGCCAAATATATCAAAGACAAAGATAATGCACATGTTAATTCTATAAACAAGTTTTCTCATATTTAGCGATTTTGACTGATTTCATCCTCAACGATGTCTTTTCAACAACAGATCTACCTCTATTATCCCCTGAGCCTGACAAGAGGGTAAACTCATGTAAGGTCCACACGAGCGTGTTTCCCCTCTGCCAATCCGAAAACAAGAATATCAACTAGTCGTAGACTAGACATTTTTTCAAACAGATTCGTCAGAAAGTTCACCGCAACCTCCTTTTCAACCAAAATCTCTTCCCGTTGGAAACTTGGAATAGTTCTTTAATGGTGCAGATATAGTAGTAGAAGATAAGAAGCCAAAAGATATCTCAAGTTGATAAAAGTTGATCATCAAATTGTGTAGGATAGGACAAAATCATTGCTCCCATAAGCAACTTACTATAATATATACATACAATAATAATACTCTCATGTGAACCCAATTGCCATGTTTGTGTTTTGAACACATACATGCTTCATGGGTTCAAATCTTTTTGCACTGTTCTATTTAAAAGCTACAAGTATATTTGAAAACAAAAAAAAGGGAACCTGAAATTGGATCAGAAAAAGGTGTCAACAGTGAGCTTCCTTTTAGGAGGAGTCTTCTCCATGACTTGCTTCTGCAAGTCCATAAAGTTGGAGCCTTTGTGTGCAAATAATCTCCTGAGGTTGATGACCGAGAGGTCGTTATAGCCACCAACTGTGAGGTCGGCCTGCCCCAATCTATACGCCGGGTGAGCACCGATGAGTGCTATGGCCATCATCGTACAGTTGTGGGCAGCCGTTATGCCTCTCGGATCATCTTCAAACACCACGCACTTTGATGGCTTCCTGTCCAGCTGAAAATTTAAAAAAAAATGGCGATTTTCTTATGGCGTATTGGCTTAAGTTCTGGTTTGTAGAGAAAGAGGAAACAATGAATTGGCCAAAGATGCAAATATAAGCAACAAATGGTAAGTCAAAGTGGTAATTTTAAGTTTTTAACCATACCTTAACTGCTGCAGATAGAAACCTGTGTGCTATGGACTCCATACCATCCTCTTCTGTCACAATAGCCTGCAACTCCAAGAAGACTATTAATTTATTATCACCACTGAAACCACACTACCACCTCAAATATTTGTTTGTTTAACTAAATTTATCGTGTTTAAATTGTTTGTAACTTTATAAAAATATACATTTCAAAAGCATATGACGAAACAAAACTTTCTATGGTGCCAAAAAAAATGATTTTTTTGTGTGACAAATAGAGTAAATAATACCAGTAACAAGAACAAATGATGAAAATGCAACAAGCATCAAGTGACATATGATTGAAAACCTGAAAATACTTGTTGAGGCGCAGATGTTCCAAGGCATCAACCACAATTTTTCGATCAAGACTAGAAACAACAGCACATGGAATGCGTGCTGTAGAAACAGCATCAAGCCATTCGTTCAGCCCCTCTATTGGTTTTGAAAACTGGGAAATAAGGGATACATTATTTAAAATAACTAGTAAGTGATACAAAGTACACCGGTGGACAAAGGCTCTTACTTTGACTAAATTGTCACAGAATAACTCTGATAACCTTAACTTCAATCTACTTAAATCATTTTCTTCCATTTCCCATTGCAAAACCTGAAAATTAAAGAATATGTGATTAGCGTGAAATAGACATTTGCATCATTGGAGGATTTTGGGGAAGAGGGGGGTGGGGTGGGAGGAATTGTGTGCTTGGTGTGGGGAAACGGAAGAGCTATAAAATCCTCCAAACTTCTCACTTCTTTTGAACCAAACAAGGGCTTGAAGTTAAGCAACAAAAATAGAGTAGAAACTCGATGATCAATTGAGGGCGAGCAATTACCAGGAGTTACACATGTTATTTGATGTATATAAGATTTTTCTCCAGCAAAGTTTCATAAACACTCAACAGCAAATTATGTTATGCTAACCTCATTTAGTACATTATCAACACCCTCTTGAAGCAAAAGTCTTTGTGTGCCGTTATCTTCAGGAATTTCCTTCCCTGAATATAATAACATCACAAGTAAAGCCGTTACTGATTAGTCAATTATTTTCTTCTAAATAACACGCATTATACTTTTTAACCTTTAATCAGTGAGTTAAGGCAATGAAAATATTGACGGGGTATGGAAAAGAAAGCAACTACAAACTAAAGGTCCATTTGGAACAAGGGAAATGCAGAGAGAGTAGGAAGCAAAATAGAGAAGATTGGAAGGGGAAATAAGGGGAAAACAAAATATAGACTCAAAGTGAATACATTTATTTGATATATTTATTCAAACTTTTTTATTATTTATATCTAGTATAGAAAGACAGAGAAAGGCATCCAATTCAAATAAAGCAAAATGAGTCATTTCAATGATGTTTTAGCATCGGACAGTAATGGACAAACTGAAAATGGCACATTAAACTTCCATTGCTTCTTACTTTCTATGAGTTTAGGATAGTAAATGGATCAATGCATCAAGGATCTAAAGGAAGCGGTCCTTCTCTTTTTTTACATGGGTGAGGTTGCGCACATAGCGACCCCTTACACCTCACAGGAAATATTTAAACTATTTTTTTAAAATAAATTTTCCTTGGTATCTTCCAAGGTAAATCCACACTTAAGAAATAACTTTCCTTAGCATTTCTAAGGGCACATTTGGATCCCAAAAATGTTAGGGAGAGGGGAAAAGGTATCAATGAAAATTACTTTCTTATGTTTGGTTTTATCTTGGAAAATGTAAAAGAAAAGGAATCATGACTAGGAGTTTCTTTAACATACTTTCCAATTTCTGAGTCCATACAAATAAAAAGAATATTATTATAAAAAATTATTTAGACTACATTTACTTCCCCTCGCATTCTTCCCTTCCAATGTGTCTTCATATTTTTCTTCCTATTTTCTTTCTCTAGTATGTTCTATGATCGAAATGGACCCTAAAGATTTGAAAGAAGATAAATCACGAACTGACTCACGCTAATCAAAGGAGAGAGCCCATGAGATCTAGTTACCTTCTTCAATAGCAAGTTGATTCCAAGCATTCCGCTTTAGAGCTTGAGTGTCTGCCTGAAGAAAAAATAGGTGTTAGGGCAAAATTTGAATGAAGGGTTCTAGAAAGAAATAAAAGACACACATAATGTTTCTCACAAGGAATAAAGGGTGATCAAAATGTTATTCCTTTCCCCTGTTGCAACAAGCTGAGGGAAACAACCATTTTCTTCAGTAAAGGAAGAACTCAAACCTTACCACTACATTGTCCCAAGAGAAAATTAATCCATAAGCCTCGTCGGGCTTCATTGCATAACGGATTCTCTTCAAAAAACCTTCTTGCAGTTTGTCATTAAGAAAATCCTAAGTGCCAAAAAAAGAAGAAGATCATTTAGACAACACAGTCTCTTCAACTCAAACCTTCTTGCACTCTAAATACAGAGAAGGGAAAAAAACAGGAACTTTGGAACTTACAACATCAACTTTGAGTAATCCATCTGCTCTAAATGTCTCAAATCCCTCTCCATATTCTGCTCCAATGGCCTATTGATTTCAAAATACTCTGAATTAATTATAATTACAGCCTCAAAGGACTTATCCGACATACGCTGTTGATGGAGAGTGACATTGTCACTCTTCCCATTGTTATTGCCATTCCATCTTGCCCGAAAATTTAACTTCATACATTCGATACTATAACAGATCAAATCTCAAGAACACTAATATAATCAAATGATCAATTCAACAAAAAATACCTCTTCCAAGGAAATATTGTTAGGAAATACAGGAAAAGGGCTAAAAGAACCATTGTTGCTCGACCCAGAATCTCTCACCAGAAACAAATTATTATTCTTTCGGTTCTTCTCAAGTCTGGAGCTTTTTAATCTCTGTTTTCAGGAAGTCGCATAAACCAATTCATCATAATATGGAGATTAAATTCGAGAGATTTTGGGGAAGGGTTTGCAAAAACAAAGGGTTTTTGGTATGAAATAATTATAACTTACCGAAAAATTGAAGTTGGAATGGGGCGGGGGAAAAGGCGCCGGCTTGGCGGGAACCAAACTCGAGCTCGTGAAGCTCAGAGAGGTTTCCATTTTCAGGTAGAACTGCAGAAGAAAAGCTGGGAAGAAGAAGAAGACATGGTGGAAAATAGCCGATGAAAAATCTTCTGCAGGAAATTGGTATGGGCCTGAATTGGGCTGATAATTCACGTCCAGTTTTTTAAGTTTTTTTTCTCTCTTTTTTATATATAAAAAAACTTGTTTGTTTCAATCTACATAGACAAGAAAATTTGATAGCCCGTCCGTTTGGTGAGTCTTGGAGTTATATATGATATGACTTTTGAAATTCGACAAGAATGATATAAATTCTAAAGTTTAAAATGAAATTGTTTGAAAAAACATTGTAATCTTAATATAATTAATGATGAGCGAATGTTGTCGGCAATAGGACAATATTGTCCGCAATAAGACTGGTTGGAGGTGTAGTGGCAACCAGTGAAAAAGGGGTGGTCGATGGTTGAGATAGATATTAAATGCTCAAATTGATAGCTCCTAAATTTAAGAGATATCAAAAACCTTCCATTTGGAGTGTTTTTGAATTTTGAAAATATCAAGTTTGATGTCACCAAAAAAGGATCTAAAATTTGGAGATATCAAAATCCATATTACTTTCGATCACCAAACACGCGTGCCCTGAAGTAATGTTGGTGCGAAAAGTGTTTTCTTTTCACAATGAGGGTGCAATGTCATATTAGGTCATTCGTCTATTTGAAAGTTTTACGATATTTTATTGAGTCCAAAAATGTTTTATTCACCCTAAAAATGATAAGGGTGTCAAGGAACCAACTCACCCAAAAAGCTTAAGCTTGTGGTTGTAGCCCAGAAATGATTGTTATATATTCTAACACGCCCCTCACGCAGGCGTGACATCTATGAGCCTTGCACGTGAAACCTTGTTTTTTTAAAACTGGGTGACGGTGAGTTTCGAACTCGTGACCTCTTGGTCATCAAGGCTCTGATACCAAGTCAAGGAACCAACTCAACCAAAAGCTCAAGTTTGTGGTTGTGGCCCAAGAATGATTGTTATATACTCTAACAGAGGGATATAAATCACTTTTGAACCACACAAAAAAAACGTAGAGGCTTAGTGTCATAATATATAATCAAAATTCATTGTCAAAAGAATAGTTTGGTTTTAAAAAAATGAAATGAATTTAGATATTTGAAACAAGATTATTTGGTAAAAATAAAAATATAATCAAATAGCATCGGCAGTGGTGGTGGGACGACGGTGATGATGTTGCGTTGATTTCCGATCAATCTATTATTTTCAAGATATCGAGATTATTTATACTCCCTCCGTCTCATTTTATAACGCCTGTTTCGGTTTACGATGTTTGACTGAAGTTATTTTCAAAGTTTTTTATATGACAAATAGTATAGAATTAAAAAATAAAAATTACATATCAAAATACTACATCAAAAGATCTACAAAACTAGTAGTGACAACAATATTTTATTTTATCAAATTGCTAACGAAAAAAGAGAAAGAAAATAAATGAAGTTTGACCTTGTGAATAGTGAACAGACATTATAATTTGGGACGGAGGGAGTACATTAGAACCAAATGTCATATTATGATCCTGAATGTCAACCCCAATCCCCTTCATTAGATTCCATTTCACTACAAAAAATGTACTCTCCGTCCCATGAAACCTTTCTCCTTTTTTTTTTCCGCCCCACAAAACACTTCTCATTTATATTAAAAAGTCACTTTTACCCTTTACTTTTTCATACCCTAACTATCACATCATACCTTTTTACTAATAATCTATCCATCAAATCATACTTTTACCCATCACATCAAAGGACATTTTTGGAAATTCAATACCAAAATACACTCCCTTAAATCCCTCTTAAAAAGCAAAAGTCTCATGTTTCATGGGACGGAGGGAGTATAAAATAAAGGAGGTTTCTTAGAACTATGAAGGAATGTAATGCATAGATGGGGATTTGGCATCATAGGCCAGTTGTAACATCTTACTATATACAAAGCAAAAAGAGCTGGCTACAGTGTTCCCGCTCTTACTATATACAAAGCAAAAAGAGCTGGCTACAGTGTTCCCGCCAAAACACTGTAGCAACCTGCTGGGCTTTACTGATAAATGTTGGGCTAACTTATCCAATACACTGAAATTAAAATTAAAATATCATTTATTCCCAAAAGCCCAATTTCGGCCCATGGCAAAATCAGAAACCCTATTTCACATCACTGCAGACTTTATGCTTATAAATACATTTTTCCTTCACAACTTGACTATCAGCCTCTCATATACATTTCATTTTTCCTTCACTCACTACTGTATCTTTTCCTCTATCTTTCCATATCAAGGGCAGCTTAGATCAAAGTTCGTGTGGTCCGAGCCAACTGATGTCCACCATTTGCTTCTTGCAGATAGAGCTCTTATAAGTGATATCCAAACTAGAAAATATATTTACGGATATATATAAATATTTATGCGTATAATTATTATAGTTGAATATACAAAATGTGTGTGTGTGNAGGTTGTATCCTTCTACAAAATATATTTATACAGCTGAATATACGAAATAAACATATATAAACATATTTATATATATTTGGTATATGTATAAAGGTATATGTATACATACCTATATATACGAAATTTAATTGAGATAGAAGGAATATTATTTTTACAGACAGAATTACAATACACACACACACCCCCACACACAGGTATGGAGGTTTGGTGCTTTGTTCTTTAGAGGCAATCATCGTAATATGGGAGGCGTTACCAAATTGATTACCCATTGTAGCTCAGAATTGAAGTCATAAAGAAACGAATTCACCATGGCTGCAATGGGTAATTCCGTAATGTCACGCCATGATAGGTTTGTTTCTACGATGCCTCTAATTTTAAAAGCCTAACTATAATTAGAATCTGATTTTGTTACTTCAAAATCATCCCAGCCACACACAAAATTTATACAGAGCCAGGCTTTGGTCATTTGAGGTATTGAAGAAACAAGTGTAATTTGGCACAGCATTACGGAGTTAACGCCCGTTGCAGCCCTGAAGTGAAGTCCATTTTTGTGCTTGAGTCATATGAGAAATGAATTTGCCATGGCTGCAAAAAAACAGTTAATTCCGTGATGCTCCACCAAGATACATTGTTTCTACGAAGCCTCAAACTTAAAACGGCTAAAAAAAATCAGACAGATTTTGTTTCTTCAACATCATCATTGACACACTCATACACACCCACACAAATTATACGTTTGAGGCTTTGGGCGTTTGATGGATTCAAGAAACCATCGTAACATGGCCAGGCATTGCAGAATTAACACCCGTAGTAGCTCAGATTTGAAGTTCGTTTTTGTGCTTGAGTCATATAAGAAATGAATTTGCCATGGCTGCAACAACGGTTAATTCCGTAATGCCACGTCAATGCAAGATACATTCATTTCTACGATGCTTCAAACTTAACAAGGCTAACAAAAATAAGAAACCAAATCGCCATGGCTGCTACAACGGCAGATAATTCAGCAACGCCACGTCAAGTTACGATGAATTCTTCAATGCCTCAAACTGTAAAAACCTGAATATCACAGTAATGTATTTCATTACTTCAAAATCATCACAACTTACCACACACACACACACACAAAATTGATACACTTGAGACCTAAAAATCATGCTCACATAATTGGGGAGACTAAAAGTCACAGCTGAGTTATACAATTGCACCTTCCATTTAATCTTAACCCCACTTTCAGACACGCATACTCACAAAAATGTACCGGAGTATTTTATAAGAACTAACTTGGAATTCATTTGACTGCCAGTAAGGGATCATTTTTTATATTAAATCAGAATTCCTTATAAAACAGTTACTATCATTTGAAAAAAATTACATTCGATAAATATGGAAGCAACTTAAAGTTACCTCACATTTTGTGCCACATTGTAGCCTTCATTCAATGTACTTAAAAATGTATATTAAAATATCTAAGTACATAAGAATATATATTAAAATAACTAAGCACATAAGAATGTATATTAAAATAACTAAGCACCAGATTAATATTTAAAATGAACAGGTTCCTTCCATTTAAAAAAGCTCAAGGTAACACACACGTATGGAGGTTCTCAATCAATAGTCCCGCACAATGTATCTTCCATACCATGTACATAATAATATACTACAGGTATGTAAAATTAACTAAGTTACATTTGAAAAAGGACAAGGGAATGCACTGGAATCAATGAAAGGATCATTACTACCCATAATAAATCTTAATTTTATTTGGAAAAAAATCCAATGAGAAAAAACTTTGTAACTGATGTTAGAACCGTAATATAATAATAAATTAATAATAAAATACTAATATAATAATAATATAGTGATTGTGAAAATAATTTAAAAGTTTTGAAAGAGAAATATCAATTTAGGATAGAAATATAGTTCCAGGTAGCGTTTTTGATATAAAACATATAAATAAAACATATAAAGAGAAGCAATATTATAATGGACACCTGATGGGGAATAACCCCACGCCAGCACTGGGGCTGACATCAGCATAAATTTCCTAAGTTTCGGGCTTGGACGTTCCTGCCCGGCCCAAAGCTCCGCTCGTCCTTCCTGCCCGGCTCTGCGCTCCGCTCGTCCTTCCTGCCCGGCTCTGCGCTCCGCTCGTCCTCCCTGCTCGGCTCGGCCGACCAAGTCGAGCCCGAGCCCCACGACAATGACATGCGGAAAGCGACGTTCAACGGAGACTTGAGGAAAGCGATAGGATGAAAGGGACAAGACGTGCAGAAAACGACGTTCAACGAAAACTTGGTGAAAGCGATAGGATGAAAGGGACAAGACCTAAGGACAGGTGACGTCCGCTAAACAACGGGCCTCGATCAGAGGGCTTTGACTTAGTATATTTTACCCCCTATAAAAGGGGTGGCACCCCTCATTGTAATGGATCCGGAATTTGAAATCAACATACTCCTACTTTGCATTCTCTCTCTCTAAAACTTATATTATTTCATACTCTCGGTGGTTTATAGCCATCAACACCACAAAAAAGTAAGTTTTAAGTACATATATAAAATTTCAAAAAATGGCAGGTATCATAGCTTAGGAGACAAATTGGTATTAATGCATACTTCGT